AGATCTTAAGGACTCTTCAAAGTTACTCATTTTAGGGTTGCTTTTCAAGAGAGAAAAAGAAAAAGGATTTGCTTTTGATGAAGAAGAGTCTGAATCAGGAAGAGATGAAGATTGAGTTCATGATTTCATTGGGGGGATTGAAAGGGAGGATGAAGGTTACTGTTATTGGTTTTAGTAGAGAGATTCTTTTTCTCTCGATGGAGTGGTGCGTGTGTTATTGATAGATATTTTGAGAGAGAAGTAGAAAGAGAAAGAAAGAGCAACATGGGTGGCTATTCTGGGCGGCTGATCTATTTAAAATATACAAATTAAAAAAAACTAAATATGAAATTATTAAATTCAAAATAATATTAATAGTATACATTCTTTCTGTTTCATTTTTAAGTCATCTTTTTTATTTTTTAGATATATCAAAAAAATACTTTTGATTTTATGTATTTAATATTATAAGTTTAATTTTTTTATAATATTAATGTATCATATTTTTATTTTAAAAAGTAAAAAAAAATTAAATATAAAAAAGTAATAAATATTTAAAAATAAAAAAACTATTTTTAAACATCCAAAAAAATTGAACAGTTAAAATAAAACAGAAAAAATATTTCGTAAAAAGATGGGATAGAGGTGTAGAAACGAGGACGGAAGAGGAATTGAGGGTAATTTTTGTAGACTTATCATTCTGATTAGCTCGTGTTCTTAAGTTATTATTATAATCAAATATTATATTTATATAATAAATTGAATAATAAATTGTTATATTATAATCAAGGTATCGTTAATAAATAATCAATTAAAATGTAATTAGATAATCAAATTCACATTTTAAGATTTTAGTATTTTAAGATCTCTTTTTTATTATTAAATTAAAGCCTCATTAACCAATCATGTTTTATTATTTAATAACAATAATAATAATATAAAAATTATAATAATCTAATTCCCTATAAGAAATAAATAAAACTCAAAATTTATGTTCATTTTTACTTAAATGGGTTTTGATTGCCTCACGAATTGTTCAGCTTTTTAATTTTGTTTTGTTTTTGTTTGCTTCCTAATTATAAAATTAGAGTGTAATTTATTTTATTTGAGGTAATGTTTGATACGAAGTGATCATTTCAAAAATTATGGTAATCTATAAATGATGATAAATTACTATATTTGATAAGTATTTGATAATTTTATATGACAGTAATCTTAGATTATCAATAGTAATCATATCATTACTTTGAAAGTGATGTAATTCCAATTCAAAAAAGTTAAAAAATTTTTATTACCAATATGAAATGATATATAAAATTTATAATAGTTAATATTCTCATTTAATATATGAATTGAAAACTTACTTTATATTAAAATTGTAGTTATTTTATATTATAATTTTTTATATTTTCAAACTAATATTCATTATAACAAGTTCAAAAATAAAATTTTTATTTTTTAATATTTTATATATAAGATAATCTTTTTGTTTTTTTATTATAAACTTAATTGATTAGTTTTATTTTCTAATTAAAATGTTTTCTTTACATAATATATATAGAAATTAGTTTATATCATTAATATATTTATTATTTATTTATATTTTATTAAAATAAAAAAATATTATTATAGTTTACAAATTATTGTATTTAATAACATAAAAATCATTAACTTATGTTAACTATTACAATATGTATGGTTATTTTCGTACTTTAAATAAAACAATATTTGATTTTTAATAATACCAAAAACAATAATCTTAATTTCTAAAAAGTAATAATTATTAACCAAACAAAATAAATTCAAATTATGAGTAATAAGATCACTTTGGTAATAAGATTACTTTAGTGATTACATTACCATAATGATGTTGCAAAGATATCAAATGTTACCTAATTATGTAATTTTAATCTCAAATTTTATTAAAAAAAACTAAAACAAAAAATATATTTTAGTGTAAAACATTTAAAAAATCATTTTAAATTTTTTCAAAATTTCTAAATAAATCAGAATAATTTTTCACACTCATTTAAGCTCTTAAAATATTATTTTATTAAATTAAAATTTTATTTTGCATGAAAATTACACTAATTCATTATTTCCTACCACATTAATGTGTACGAGACCATTATTTCTACTACATGTCAGAGATGTGACAATAAATCTATGTAGGTGCTAATGTGAAATATTACGTGAACTTGTGCTTCTACGACCAAAGTGTCAACACAACATGAAATTTTCATGTATTTCTATGTTGGCATCTATATGGCACTAAAAATGATCACTTAGACGATGAAATGGTAAAAATAATAAATTTTAGTAATTTCTTACAAATAGAGGTTTAATTAAATAAAAAATATTTTATTTAATTACTTTTGTTATGATTTTTTATATATGCGTCACATCTTGTTTCTAAATATAAAGAGAAAATTCTAAAATTAGATTCTTTATTTTCTAACTAAAAAAAAAAAATGGGTAACCTTTATTGTTCCCAAACCACTAGAGTACTATTAAGGCTTGTAATAAAGGGTAATAACATAGAGATAATGGTTATAATTTGATTAATTAGTGTTAAAATTGGATTTTTTATTTTATATTATCCTCAAAGTTAGAGGTGTCATTTGGACGGTTGGTTCGATTTGAATCAAATCAATTTACATTAGATTCTTTTGAGTTTCGAATTCCCACTAACTTATGTTTGAATCATTTTAAGTTTGAATTTTTTAAGTTTAATAATCAAGTTTTTTAATTTGAATCATTGGACTCTTAATTATTTTAGATCTAAATTGTTAAACTTTTAAAGTTAAATTAGTTTAACTTAAGATCATTTTGATGAGTCATTTTTTATTGTTCAAATTTGAGTCATTTCAAATACAAATTAATTCAAATTTGGGTCATTTCATGTTTGTGTTGAATAAATTTGAATTATTAAATTTTTTTTATCAAATCAAATTGAATTTGGCACAAATTTGGATAATTCAACTATTTTTTTCAAATTTAAATATACTTTGACAACTCTACTCCCAGCCCAAAATTCAAGTAGTTATGTAGTACTATCAATATCAAATATGCTATGACAAATGAAAGTAATTTGTCAATTCCTAGTAAATTATAAATAAATGGAGTTAGAAGATTAGGTCTTACTTTAATAATATGCCCTAGACATTAGCTCTCAAATTCAAATTTCATTTTTGTTTTTTTACCCAAAATCATTTCACCTTATGTATT